AATGCCTCATGAAGTAATATATTACTGAGAGTTGGAACCCAGGTACTGAGGTGGAAATAATATGTGGGAAGATTTTTTTTTTTTAATCCAATGTTCACACCGCAGCCTCTTCTCTGTGAAGAAAATATCTCTTTTCAGGCAGTGTATATCTATATGAATAAACATTTATCTGCCTTGCGGAATGCTAGAATAATGAAAACCTGCATCAATCCAGCATTTCACAAATTAGAAAGATTTTTTCCTGTAATGGTATTTGGTAAAGTTCCCAGGAGGGATTATAAGATACTGGTGAAATATGAAGTTCAGAAAGAAGGTTATTTAAATAATTGTAAAGATTCTGTGGATAACAGGATGCTTTCAACAGATAGCATAATCATTTCATATCAATTGTGACAATGGCTTTGAGATGCTCCTCTGAAGGTGTAAAGACACCACCACCAATATAGCTCTGTGGCTTCCAGATAGCACACCCCAGGCTTTCCCTTCTACTGAAAGCTCCATAGACTATTCCAACTGAAAGAGTCTTGATTAATCTTTGAATGAATTATATACACTTGAAATGAATGTAAGTCCCTCAGTCTACTGTGACACACCTTGACACAAGCTTCATTTCAACACCATGTGCGGTTAAGCTAATGTTTCCAGACCATATTACATGGTAGCTCAAGACTGTCTCAGATACTAGGGATAGGCCAAATAGGCAAGGCTGTGTTTCAACAAGAATACAGCATTTAAATATATATTTTATGATTTCATACCATATAGAGTATTTTATATTTCATTTATGTTAATTGTAGAAAAATATTCTACTTTTGAAAAAGTATCAGAAACTACCTATGTGATTGTTAGTTCCTTCAGAGCCTCCTTGTTTGTTTTAATTTTGGATTGTTATTTATATTGTATTTTATTATCTTTTGTTTGTGTATCTAATGCACTTTTCCACAACTGCATTAAATGATACCTGAATACAGAGAAGATAATTCTCATTTTACTCCCAAAATACCTTGTTCAAAGTGGATACAATATATTTCATTCATTTTACATTTTACTTCATTGAAAGCCTAAAATCAATAAGCTCTATTTCTCCAGCGGATATATCAGACTCTTGATGTAAATATCACAGACATTCCTGAGATTTCTAATAGCATATAACTGAGTATCCAAGTTTCAACTTGAACTACCTTTCAGTTACCAATGGCTGGTGTATTACTGTAGGCCTTCTTTGGTATGTTTTACCATTTTCATAAAGGATCTTAGATATTTATGAAAATAGTTGACATAAATATAATTGAATCGTATTCTTACTTGGTGATAATTTTAAAAAATATACTGGATGAAAATATGAACAAAATCAAAATGTCATTGAGATTCACATAAGAAAGAAAGAAGAAAGAATATGGATACATGGGGAGAAGGGAAGAAGGGAAGCAAAGCAGTGGGGAGGGAGCATGGGTGAACAAAACAAGGGAAAAAGCCTGAAAGGAGTAAAAGCAAGAAAGGAGAGAGGGAAGGAGAGAGAGAGAAAACCTGACACTCTAGGAAGCACAGCCCACCATGAGACTATGGGCCGAAACTAACTCTGATTTAAAACTTAGACAATAACAGCAAACCACATCCCTTCTGGCAGAATGTAGAAACTTCCTAGCATGATCGCTCAAGCTTAAAATAGATAGGCTCCACCTGGATTAATATTAAGATTGTAATTTGTCTATGTCCCACATCTAACTTCGGTTGAAACATGAACTAATGTCAAGATTGTATCGTCAAGATTGTAAAAAACAACATTAGTTTTGCACAGGCCTTATGTTAATTTGATGCTAGTAACCATGTATTCCCCCCATACCAGGAACTATGTATTCCCCCTCCACTCCTTGTGGTTTTTGCCTTTATAAACTCTGTTGTTTTGAGCTTCAGGTCCAGAGTTCTTTGGGATAAGAGCCCACTCTCCACTGCCTATCGCTGGCAATAAAGGACTCCAAAGTTTATTGGTGTGTGGTTCTCCTCTGTCAGCACTCACTCAGGCACAACACCATCCTGATTGTTGCCATACACAATTCAGAGAAGAAAAGAAAAGAAATTTATATATAAAGCTACTCAGACTTGTGAGGCTATTACAGAAAGTGTGGAGAAGGAAGAAGGGAGAAACATGCAGAGAGGAGGGGAGGTGTGAGTGGGGAGGGATAATAATCACAACAAAACAAAGCAGGTGTAATGGCAACATGCTGCCCATCTCTGGGTTCAAGTTGCACATATGCTTGTCCTGACTGGCACAAAAGGAAAATGCAGATTCCACAAAACACTTATGTAGGAGATATGAGCCAACACCAAGCAGAGCGGTCTATTCTTCACAAAAGTGTATTCTGATTTACCTCAATATAGAACCGTATGCCAGAACACTGAGCCAGGTATGAAATGAGATGTGATTGCTGATCGAGATTTTCCACACAAAGTGTCATTAGTATTGAAAACTCAAAAAGCACATAGTTGAACAAAGAAAAAATACTATGGAACTTCAGATAATTGCAAAAATATATATATTTGGCACTGGGATTGTCAATTATAATACCTGAATTGAACTGCTGCTTATTTCATGTAGTAGTTCAAAGCTTTCATTTAATTTTTATTTCTTATTTTTTTCATCTTTAGTATTTTTCATCCTGGGCTTGATGCTAAATTTTAAAACCTAAGCATTCTTCCTACCCAACCGCCCTCCCCCACCAATGCTCTGCTTTTCAAATACATAATTAAACCTTAAAATAAATAAAACCTTGACAAATATATTCTTTAAGTTTCCTAAGTTTACTGTAAGAGTCTCTTGATGGGAAAGTCCACAGTGAGTATTTGGAGAATGAATGATTGAGTACCAGGCAAATTTAAATCTGCCACTCCTGAGTCTCAGCTCCCCTGAATACGTTTGCCATTGGAAACGTGCTTGAGAGTGCCTGATCCTGAATCCAAAGATCAGCTGAAGGTCTACACTAGCTACTTTTTGGTCCTTAGATAATATAACTATGAAATATACATGATATATTCTTACAATGAAATTAGGGAATCTATGTGAGATTGTATATCGCCTGGCTGTTAATGTTAACTATTCTTATTATAAAAATTTCCAATCAGAATTTCTGTAAGTATTGTTTTATAGGGAGAGATTATACATGGGTGAATATGGGAAATGATGAAATGGAAAATCCAGACTGGATGCTTGGCTTTGACTAAGGGAAAATAGCAGAAATCCTTCATTTTTCACTTTAAAAATTAAGCGATGAATACTAAAGTTGACATCATTGCAGCTGGAGCTGTGGCGTAGTAGGCTAAGCCTCCGCCTGTGGTGCCAGCATCCCATATAGGCGCCGGTTCATGTCCCAGCTGCTCCACTTCCAATCCAGCTCTCTGTATGGCCTGGGAAAGCAGTGGAAGATGGCCCAAGTGCTTGGGCACCTTCACCTGTGTGGGAGATGCAGAAGCCCCTGTCTCCCTGGCTTTGAATTTTCCTGGCTCCAGCTATTGTGGCCATTTGGAGAGTGAACTAGCAGATGGAAGATCTCTCTCTCTCTCTCTCTCTCTCTCTCTCTCTCTTTCTCACTCACTCTCTGTAGCTCTACTTCTCCAATAAAGAAATAAAATCTTTAAAAAACACAGTTGACATCATTGCCCTCTGATTCCTTGTCCATTCAGGGTTTGTGCTATGTTCTATGGATAAGCTAAAAGGATGAAGAGTTGAGAGTTACAGACAGATTATACAATGCAAGTTTTCAAATTTGTACTCAAGTTTGTACTCAAGCAATGTGATCTGCTTCCTTTAAATATTGTGGGAATATGAAAGCAAAATATGCTAGTATTTATTATTTGGAACATAGCATGAAAAGTTAAATATAATTTAAAAGGATGGCAATGTTCTATGAATAAACTAATGAAAAATCAGGTGTGATTACTGGTCGAGATTTTTCACAAAGTATCATTAGTACTGAAAGCTCAAAAAGCACAAAAAAAGAGGAGGAGGGAAGAGCACTCTGTCATATAATTTATAAAGTTGGTTAATGTGGAAAACTCCACACTCATTATAAATACAGTACAGTAGGCTTATAAGCTATCTACCCGTACAAAGATGTTTTATACATGTCTCATTTATATGAACTTTTGGAACAAATTTGCTCTGAAAACATTGATAGGAAATAGCATTACAAAGATTTTTGGTGTTTATTTTGGAGGATAAATGCCCACTTTACTGCACGAAAACTGACACATGTTTAAGTCCTAGATCCTTCACTTACAAAGTCTGTTCCTGTGAAAATTACTGAACTTGTATATTCACAATTGCTCTGAACTTAAATGAAATCGTGCTTGTAAAACACTCATAAGAACACTGGATCATTCAGTAAGTCTTAAATGCTACTTCAGTTTGTTATAACTGATATTATAAAAAGAATCAGCAATCATTCAATATTAAGTGTACTACGATCAGTGGAATACATGTTATTATATAAACTTGATGTGATATAAATTAAGGTAGATACCTGTACAACCTGGAAAAGACAGTAGGGTAAGATGCAAACATAAAGTCTAAAAAAGAATTTTATAGCTTTGAAGTCCAAACACAGTTGAATTCTAACATTAAAGAGGGACATATGTCTCTAAAAGTAGTTAATTTTGAGGGCCACAAGTGGTTACAAATCCACACAAATAGTTACAAATGCAAACACAAAATAGAATTAAATAAAATCTTAATATTTTAGGTACTAAGAATCTATTACTTGTGAAAATTTTCAGAGCACAAGAACCACTCTTTGCAAGAAACATCCAATACAGGAAATTTGGGAAATACAAATACACTGTCCCTGTTAGTCAATGCTAGGTTCTCCACTTTCTCTGTAATTGTATTCATCATTAGTCACGTTGCCTCAAGCATTTCTATTATTCTAAGCAAATACAGCATGAATATTCAAAAGAGTACTTCTAAGTAAATTGCTTTAAGAAATACTAGTGATATTTTAACATACCGAGGCCTTGTTTTTTAGCTTTTTTTCTCTAGTAGTCTTTGCTTTTCTGTTGCTGGTAAAATAATGCAAGGTTCCATATTCCATCAAAGCTGCAAAAACAAAAATGAAACAAACGGAAACAAAGAGATCCATCGCAGTCACATAAGAAACCTTTGGTAAAGATTTCCTGGCGATTGTACTCAGGGTTGTCATGGTCAGAACTGTAGTGATACCTAAGAAGAGAGAGAGAAAAAAACAAATACACTACTCTTGTTCTTCCAGCAGATTAAGCATTATTGTGAGCATATGTAAACAATTGAAGCAAAGTGATACGGTTTCTAGACCCATAAGAAAGAATCACCAGTTACTACAGCTGCATTATGCTGAACGTGTTCTTTATATCTGTGAGAATTTTAATTATTTTCAATTCTGTGGATTGCAAATTGATTTCCAATATCAACCCTTCCCTTCCTTCACAGTAATAACATAATCAATTTTAGCTGACGAATAGTTGTGTGGAAGAAATACTTTTGTTTGTTGCCTTCCCTGCAGGTGTCTGTGCCCATACGCAGACACACAAGGGGAACTAAGAACATAAGCAATGGCGAACAGACGCCATTAAAGAGAGGTGGTGGCCTTCTTTCCCTCCTCCTCATTACTTCCTGCTAGAATCCAATGGCCAGAACACTAACCACCATCTTAGACCATTAGACAATCCTTGGAATCAAAATCACCCACATGAGAGCAGAAAGATAGAAGACTGAATCCTTCGTACTGCATTTTTCCGTATCCAGTCGGACTACCAATCTCCAGACTTCAACTGGGGAAATGAATATTGTTCCTCCAACCAAAGCAATAGTGGTTTGATGTTTTCTGTCATACACAGTTCATTAACGAAAATTAATAAATTCATATCTGATGTCTTGATCTATGTTTTTTAACTCAAAGCGCGAGTAAAGACTACAGGCATAGTAGAATAGAAATCTATATTTTTAAGAATTCAGCATCTGTATTCAGGACATGCCCCAGAGCCGTATCTCTTTGTATCCTTGGACATGTCTGCCTGTCTTTACCAGTGACCTTCTTGTGATTCTTAGCAGTGTTCTTAGGTAGAGTGAGTCCTAGTTGTACATGCTGCATTTCTTCTAACCTCAATGGACTCAGTTCCCATTTGTTTTACCACTATAATGGCCACATGAGTAGAATTGTTTATTCTCAAAAAAGTACTAAATACAATGCAAAATGCTTTCAAATTTTTTCTAAAATCTGTACATCAACACCTATTATGAACAATAATATGAATAAAAAAGCCCTGCAGCAACAGGGTCTCTGTGGTATGGTGAAGCACTAGCCACCTCTTTCCACCAGGTCTCCACTGAAATCTTCTCTAACCATTCCTCTCATACTCCCTCACCTCAGCACTGACAAAAGTTAAAGATGACATGGATGTGATGGATTTGGGATTGTAGAAGCAAAGTCTCTGACTCTACCACCTCCAGCTTTGTCATCTTATAGAACTTTCTTAACTCCTCTCTGCCTGTCATTAAACAACTGACATAGGAATATCTTGCTTGATTCCTGTGATGAACAGATACAAAAGGCATTTAATTTACTTATTTGTTCTTAATGTGGATACTTAGGTTATTGATGCTAACATTTTAAAGCTATATTTTTCCTGTAAGTAGCACTTAGCTACAGTATACAGATATTTGTAAGAGGGGTCTTTTAAAAAGTTGATAGAAAATAAGTATTATGAAAAACTATGCATGCATTTCCAAAAAAACTGCATTAAAATAAGCTTATATTTTAATTCTACTTTTTCACAAACCCTCCTATGTTATCTTATGTATGTTCTTATCAAAATTCAATTTGAAATATTGTTTAAAATCCCTATAATTTTTTTTGACCCAAGGGTTATCTGAAAGGTCTTTTTCTTAATTTCCAAATTTGTCATTATTAGTTGTCACTTTTATTAACTTTTAATGGATTTCAGTTTTTCCTAGAAATACACTCTGAAAAATCTTAGTCTTTTGATTTATTGAGATCTTGGTTAATTTTGATTTTATTGAGATCTTGGTTAATACTCTCCATGAAGGTACAAATATTTTGTATTCTCAAGTTAGGTGTAGAGTTCTATAGTCATCATATAAGTCAATAAGTTGGTCATTTCATAAGCTTTTCTACATTTTTAAATGATTGTTATGCAGTTTTAACAATAAAAGAAGAAGGAGTATTAAAATCCTCAATTATGGTTGCAGGCTTGATACTTCTCCCATTATCACTGTTTCAATTATTTTAAAATAAGTATATATATATATAATAAATTAAAGGCTTCATATTTCGTAAATAATGAATAATTTTATTGAATGCATGTCTCTCTAAATTTTCTCAGTCTGCACACTTTTTTAAAAAATTAAATTATAGTATTTCCACAGTTATACAAAAATATATTTCCAAAGATATTCCTTCCACAATTATATTCCATTATTACTTTGAAAATCTTGAAACAAATATGTGGTTTTATTTTGTTATTAATAATTGTGTTAAATTTTATGTTAGTAACATGCTATTATGTTTCTGTTTTATGTGGAAACAAAAACTACAGTAGAACTTGGTTTTTGGTTACCTTTTCAAGTTAGTAGTTATTGTCATTGATTAGTTTGAGAAGAGCAGAGTCAATTTCATGAAAATATCTCTAGGTCCACAATAACAGGAAAACATTTGGGATGTTTAGAGAATCACAAAACATCTCAAAAAGCATAATTCTTTTCTCTATCGTTTCTCCTGCTTAAAATCCTACAATAGACTCCCAACACTTTTGGAATAAAATTCAATGTCCTTAAAATGACTCAGTAAGAGTGATATGATCTGACAACTGGCCACTTATTCAATCTCTTTTCTAATTTTTTTAATCAGCTTAACCACAACATTATCTTAACATCAGGGATAGTCTAGCAGATATTAAGAACCTGTGGTTCTCCCTGTTTGGTGTACCTTTCTACAAAATATCCACCAGCTCTTTAGATACTTAAGATCACTGCTCAAAAGTCGTCTCTTTGGAGAGATCTATGCATATGAAGTAACAAACACCATAAACATCTACCTACTCTCCTCTAACCACTCGTACCATTTCCTCTTCATTGCCTTTATCAGACTAAAATTTTAGTAGCTGCTTAATATTTGCACATCTCATGATTTCCCCACTAAACAAATTTTAACACCATGAACATTTCTTAATGTTGGTTCACTTGTTAACCCTGCAGCACCAAGAACAGTGCTTGTTCTATAGAAAATGTCTGACAAATGTTTGTTAAAATATACAAAATATACTTTAAAATTCTTGATTGTCTAACTATGTAGTATCTGAGATTGTAAGATATCTTCCACGGTTTTTCTCAAAGTTTATTTACTTATTTGAAAAGCAGTTCCTGTGAGAGAGAGAGAAAGAGAGAGAGAGGGAATCTTACAGTAAAATCTTGCTGTGCTTATCTTTGCAATTGGTATATGCTAATATTGAAAAAAGATAAATTCAAGCAAAAAAACAATTTCACAATTTTATGACACTACAGCAAATAGCTTTCTACAAACCCAATAACAGAAATAATCCATTCAAATTTTCTTTGGGGAAAAATATGCAAGTGAAAATAAGAATAAATAAAATATTTAAGGTATACTCACAGCAGCAAACCTACAGCCCAAAGTAATTCATGTGCCTTGAACATAAAATAATTTAAAATATTTTCAAAAAAAATTCTGAAGTATTAGTAGACTTTGTGCATGAGTTATATTAATATGTCCATTTAGTCTCCCAAAAAAACTATATTTCCAAGTATAGAGTTACATACTTCATGTTTGATCTTTGTTATTATGTGATATGGATTTTATTACATTTATTAAATGGAATTATTTACCATCTATCACAGAAACTACATAAAAACCTCCTTGTGGTTGAAAATAGAAATGATCTCAGCTTCCTTTATTTTTATAAGATGCAATTATCAGCAGTGTGACCTGTGTCTTACATTGATTTTAAGGATGAATCAATTGATTAGCAAGTTTTCTTTGTATATCAACATAAGAATGAAGATTATAATTTGTTAAACAAATGTGCATTAATTAGCCAGTTATTTTCTTATATCATTTGATTACTGCAATAGATCACTAGAGAAAGAGAGCAAAAATCTATTATATCAAACATGAATTATAAATTAACCTTTTAATCAATAGGATTGTACAAGCAATTCTCAAATATTCACAGGCCAATTATATATTTTATAGATAACAAAACCTATGGAATAGGGCTGGTGCTGTGGTGTGGTGGGTAAAGTTGCCACCTGCAGTGCTGGCATCCCATATGGGCACTGGTTCAAGTCACAGCTGCTCCACTTCCTATCTTGTTCCCTGATTATGTTCCTGGGAAAGCAGCAAAAGATGATCCAAGTCCTTGGGCCCCTGAACCCACGTGGGAGACCTGGAAGAAACTCCTGCGTTATGGCTTCGGATCAGCCCAACTCCGGCCATTGCAACCATTTGGGGAATGAACCAGTGGATGGAAGATCTCTCTCTCTCTCTCTCTCTCTCTCTCTGCCTCTATGTAACTCTGCATTTCAAATAAATAAAACAAATCTTTAAAAATGAAATCCCATGGAGCTTCTTATTCTTTGCAATTATCAGTCCTTTAGAAAAGTTGACTGTTCATTTGCAGTTATGAGTCAGGATTGCAAAGCCATGCAACCAGACACTAGTAAACTAATGCTGATTATGAGTGATTTAGCTAAAGTAAAATACTGATTAAAAGATATTGAAAATTTGGGGACCAGCTTTGTGTCATAGCAGGTTAAGCTGCCACCTGCCATACTGGCATCCGTATGAGTGCCAGTGCCAAACCCAGCTGCTCTGCTTCTGATCCAGTTCCCTGTTAATGCACCTGGGAAGGCAGCAGAAGATGGTCCAAATACTTGAGTGCCTACTACTCAAAGGGGAGACACAGCTGGAGTTCCTGGCACCTGGCTTCAGCCTGTCCCAGCCTTCATTTTCATGGCCATTTGGAGAGTGAACCAGCAGATGGAAAATCTTTTGCTGTCTGTCTCCTCTTCACATCTCCCCCCAACCTCCATAACCCTGCCTGATAAATGAATAATAAAATAAATCTCAAACAAAGAAAAAGAAAATATTGATCCAAATACAATTCAGGGACTATGTTGATTTTAACGTATTAATTTTCACTGTGCACCTATGCTTCCCTTGATCTGTGTTAGCAGGAGAAATAAGGAATTTTCTAAAATGTCAATTTCTTTGTAATTCTATATTTCTCACTCTTTTATATATATATATATTCATTTCAAAATGGTATTGTACTAAAGTTCCTATCCATTTTTATCTGATTGCAGCCTAGGGAAATAACTCTAATAAGGGTGACTACAAACTTTGATCACAGTAAAATGCATTTAAATATCCTTTAATACTATAGCATAGCATTGCATATCATACCCAGTGATGTTCTTGCAGGCACTGCATCTTTATTGATCCAAAAAGACACCCAAGAAAGAACAACTGTCAGAATGCATGGAATGTAGGTCTGAATAGTGAAATATCCCATCCGCCTGCTCAGGTCAAAAAAAATTGTCATGATAACATAATCCCCTGGAAGAAAAAACATATGTTTTATTCTGGTTATAAAATATACAAAAACATATGCTAGTATCATTCATTGCTTCCTTGTTTTGTCTTACCAGAGATTGTGTGTGAGATTTCAGTTGAGTTCCGTAACCCTACAAATGCAAATTGATATAATCGCCAGTATTTAGGATCAGCCACTTCCACAGAGGGTTTTTTCCACTTATATTCAATTTCATTTTTAGGATATCCATCTAGAGAAGAAATTAAAATAAAAAGTGTCTAGCTAGAAAGTTTCATTATAAGGCACAAAAATATAGAAGGCCCTGCATAAACTATATATCCATAATATAAAGCATAGTCATATCACAGTTATTTTACCTTGATAGGCTGATTTCAGAGGCAACTTTATTTTAGCATATAGTGACTGTATGTGTATTGAGGGTAGAGGACACTACTTCATGTGACCCCAAATGTCTAGTCTTTTGTAACCCAGCATCATGTACAGATTATGTTTTTTTGTTTTTTGTTGTTGTTGTTGTTGTTGACAGGCAGAGTGGACAGTAAGAGAGACAGAGAGAAAGGTCTTCCTTTGCCATTGGTTCACCCTCCAATGGCCGCTGCAGCCAGCGCGCTGCGGCCAGCACACTGCACTGATCCGAAGGCAGGAGCCAGGTACTTATCCTGGTCTCCCATGGGGTGCAGGACCCAAGGACTTGGGCCATCCTCCACTGCACTCCCTGGCCACAGCAGAGAGCTGGCCTGGAAGAGGGGCAACCAGGACAGAATCCGGCGCCCTGACCAGGACTAGAACCCGGTGTGCCGGCGCCGCAAGGCGGAGGATTAGCCTAGTGAACTGCGGCACCGGCCCAGATTATGTTCTATTAGGCTTCTACCCCACAAGGCTGTCAAAGCCACAAGTTAAAGTTACCATTTTGCAAATATTCTGAGGTCATAATCGGCTGCAAATCTGATTCACAGGCTTTTAACTTTTTATGTGAAATTTTGTGGTTGAAAATTCCTTCTTGTTTGTGATCATTTATCTTTCTCTGAGAGTATTTTAGTAGCAAAGCATAAAGATTGCTCTATCATATTATGGAAGCTGAGCTCACTAGTCAACTTTAGAAATTTCCAAAACAATGTATCAAGTTGAACTAAGATCTCTTTTCTGCAACAGAACTAGTTAGTTATCTGTGTTGACCCATTTAAGAATCTATTTCCCTCTCTTTTTTCTCCATCTTTTTTCTTTTACTCTCTAGATCTCTACCCACCTAGTTCTTATTCCTTGCAACTACAGAGGCTGTAGTCATCATTTATAGGAGAGTCAGAACAACAAACACAGCTAGTTATATATGTAGCCATTGTGAATCTCATGATACTGACTTATAAACTTGAGAGTGCAACAAAATCTTGCATACATATTTTGTGAAACAGGCTTAATTCTCTACCGTACTCTTAGAATACCAGAAAAATGAACAATGATTGTCGCAGGTACTCAAATGTACTCACAAAGCAGATTATAACAATGTCACAAGAATTAAGAGTGGCAGTCAGAAGTATAATAACTGCTACTTTATCCTATTTTCATATCAACTATTCTTCCTGGTTTCCTATTAATTAATTTTTGTAATTTGTTTTATTCTTTGATATGTTAATTTTAAAACTCCTAACACAGTGATATATGAGATATTAATATAAAAGAATATTTTAGTGCTGGTGTTGTGTCATTGTGTCTAAAGCTATCCCTGCAATGCCAGAAACCCATATGGGAATGGGTTTGAGTTCCAGCTGTTTCACTCCCCATCCAACTCCCTGCTGGTCTCCTGGGAAAAACAGTGGAGGATGGGCCAGGTCCTTGGGCCTCTGGCACCCACACTGTAGATCAAGACAAGCTTCTGGCTCTTGGCTCCGGTCTGGTCCATCTCTGGTCCTTACCACCATTTGGGGAGTGAAGCAGTGGATGGAAGACCTCTGTGTGTGTGTGTCTCCCTTTCCCTCTGTAACTCTGACTTTCAAATAAATACACAAATAAAGGATGTTTTAATGAGAAAAATCATTAAGAAAATTCAATAAAATAATTAATAAATTGAAATCACAAATATATGGGAATTTAGCAAGTGAAGAACTATGGTAAATTACAAATAAGTAATTAAGAATGGACTCTATGATAAAGTAGAATTTTGAGAGTAAAACAGCAGTAGATAATTTGCAAATATAAGGAAAAATTTAAATATCATTTTATATGTTTGTAAGACTTTCTTAATTAGGTTTATAGAAAAATATTTTACAAAAATATATGAGGACTAATGTATTAATAAAGATAAAATGTAATTAATACTACTACAAAAAGACTATAACTCTTTCCTTGAAAGAAAGCATTTGGGTTTGTACTCAAACTGTTTAGCTCTAACCACTTTTCTTTTGTTGCTTTTTATAATTAAATAAACTTATTTCTACCTTGCCTTTTCTGACTCGTTAAGTCTTCTCAAATATGTGATATTCATGTAGTAAATAGTTTCCACTCAATAAATATTTGAAACATTTTATAATCCAATGTAATGAAGTTAAATCATACTTTTAGAAAAATGGATATTATTTGAATCAACTTTTTATTCTTGCTTATGTAAAAGCATTTGACTATAATTTTTTCTTCAGTAGTCTACTTATTCAAAAACAACAGAACATTTGAAAAAGACAAAACTTATGCAGAATTATTTAATAAAACATGTATTCACACCATATGTATTGCCACTTCTAAAAGTAAGAAGCAAATTCATTATTTGTAATTACTTTATCCTTTTATCTGAGACAGTTGAATACAATCTACAGTTTTGAAAACTGTATTCTATCTTATTTTCTATTTAAAATAAAGATAATTGGAAGCTAAAATTCTATGAAATTATGAATTATTTATCACTTACAGCTTGAAAATTCAAGTGGACAGGAATGTTCATCCATAGGAAAGTTATGAAGCTGAAGGTAACATTCTGCATTAATTGTCAACCTAGTTAGAAAAACAAATAAGTATTAAAGATAAAGATTTTAAGCATTAAAATATTTTTGTCTAATTTATTTAAAGGGTTTTATTTATTTATTTGAAAGCCCGAGTGACATAAAACAAGGGGGGGACATAGAGAGAGAGAGAAAGAGAGAGAGATCTTTAATCCACAACTGGTTTAAAACCTAAATGCCTGCAATAGCCAGGAGTAGATCAGATCAAGGTTTTTATCCAGGAAGTCTATCCAGGACTCTCATGAGGATGGCAGGAACACAAATACTTGCACCATCATTTGTTGCCTTTTCAGGCATATTAGCAGGAAGTTAATTTGGAAGTACGCAATAGCTGATTCTCTAATAAGACACAATGATATGTGTGATATGGTCATCCCAACCAGGGGTATAACGCACTGTGTCACAATGCCCAACCTTCTTATTTAGTTTGGAAATGTGATTTTGTTCTATAATAAAGGACTAATATATAATATTAGAATATGGTAATACTCCTAAAGTCTCAAGGTCTGAAATGATACTATTATAATAGTCATAAATGAGGAAGAAAATTCTAATTTTTCTTCACCAGCAATTTAAGTTGCTTTGTATACAGTTCCATAATAACCCTATACTTACATGGAAATTATTAACTAATTAATTTATTGATTTGAAAGTCAGATATAAAGACAGAGAGATGAATGGAAAAGGAGAGATCTTCTATCCACTGGATCACCCTTCAAAATGCTCCAATATCCAGAAACTCAATTTGTATCTTCCACATGAGTGGCAGGAACCTAGGTACTTGATCCATCACCTGCTGCCTCCTGGGGTGCACATTAAAAGGAAGCTAGATTCTGGGATGCAGGCATCCTGAGTGCTATGAAAGTGCTGCACTAAACATTCACCCCCTACATTTGCATTTTAAGCTCATACTTCAGGATCTCAGCAAACTTATACATGCACACATGAGCACACATACAAGATTAACAATGTATGGATGGTCAAGTATGGTTATTTTTTCTTATCCTTATACATCTTTCCATTATGAATGATTCTTAAAAAGCAGGTATGTCCAAGGAAATTAGTTAATAAAGTTAACCATGGGCATTTATACTTTCATGGAAATGTTTCACATCACTTTTGAAAATCCAAGCATTATAAAATATAACCAGATGGATTCATACAGAAAACCTGGCAACTGGCAGAATAGGAGAAAATATATGCAAACTATGCAACTGATAAAGGGTTAGCATCCAGAATCTATAAAGAGCTCAAGAAATTCATCAACAACAAAACAAACAATCTGATGAAGAAATGGGCAAAGGATCTGAACAGGCATTTTTTAAGAGAGGAAATTCAAATGGCTAACAGACACTGGAGAAAATGCTCAAAATCACTAGCCATAAGGAAAACGCAAATCTAATCAAAAGCACAATGAGGTTTCACCTCACTCCAGTTAGAATGGCTCTGATACAGAAATCAACAAGTGACAGATGCTGGAGAGGATGTGGGGATAAAGTTACTCTGGTCCACTGTGTGTTGGTAGGAATGTACTCGTGTAGTCACTGTGGAAAACAGTATTGGAGATACCTCAGAAACCTGAATATAGATATATGATCTAGCCATCCTACTCCTGGGAATTTAACCAAATCAAAAGATATCAGCATGTGAAAGGGTTATCTGTACCCCCATGTACATTGCTTCACAATTCACAACAGCTACATTGTGGAATCAAACCAGATGTTCATCAGCTGTTGACTGGACAAAGAAATTATGGTATATGCATTATGGAATACTACTCAGCTATAAAAAGGAAATGAAATCCTGTCTTTTGAAACAATAAGGACACAACTAGAAACCATTATACCTAGTGAAATAAGCCAGTTTCCAAAAGACAGATATCATATCTTTTCCCTGATCCAATGTAACTAATACAGTACCTGAAATGTAATGTATTGGATTGAAATAGACATTTTGAGATTGATGATTGTTTATAACCCTTTTATCTTTTGATGAGGAACAGTATTGAAAGTTTTTACTTAAGAGTATTGTTAACTATACAATTCTTAAGTAGACTGAAAAAAGATTGTTGTAAAAACTTAGAGTAAGAAAGCGAGAGGGAGGGAGCCTAGGTGGGAGGAAGGGTTGGGTAGGAAGTGCCTCTATGTTCCTAAATCTATATATATGAAAACTTGCAATGGAAAAAATATTTGCGAACTATGCAACCAATAAAGGATTAAAAACCAGAATCTACAAAGAGATCAAGAAAATCCACAACAAAACAAACAACCTACTTAAGAGTTGGGCCAAGGACCTCAATAGACATTTTGCAAAAGAGGAAATCCAAATGGCCAACAGACACAGGAAAAAATGTTCAGGATCACTAGCCATCAGGGAAATGCAAATCAAAACCACAATGAGGTTTCACCTCACCCCAGTTAGTGGCTTACATACAGAAATCTACCAACAATAGATGCTGGAGAGGATGTGGGGAAAAAGGGACACTAACCCACTGTTGGTGGGAATGCAAACTGGTAAAGCCACTATGGAAGTCAGTTTAGAGAGTCCTCAAAAACCTGAATACAACCCAGCCATCCCACTCCTTGGAATTTACCCAAAGGAAATTAAATGTGCAAATAAAAGAGCTGTCTTCACCTATATGTTTATTGCAGCTCAATTCACAATAGCTAAGACCTGGAATCAATCTAAATGCCCATCAACAGTAGACTTGGTAAAGAAATTATGGGATATGTACTGTATAGAATACTATAGAGCAGTAAAAATAAAACACACAAGAATGAAATCCGGTCATTTGCAACAAGATGGAGGAATCTGGAAAACATCATGCTGAGTGAAATAAGCCAGTCCCAAAGGGACAAATATCGTATGTTCTCCCTGATCAGTGCAAATAACTGTGCACCAAAAAGGAAACCTGTTGAAGTAAAATGGATGCTATGAGAAACAATGACTTGATCAGCCCTTGTCCTGACTGTTGAGGAACAACTTACTACTTTATTCCTTTAAGTATTTTTTTTGTTCTACTTAATACCATTGCTTGAACTTTTTAATTAACACACAATTATTCTTAGGTGTTTAAATTTAATTGAAAAGTGATCCCTGTTAAATATAAGAGTGGGAATAAGAGAGGGAGGAGATGTCCAGTTTGGCACATGCTCAATTGGACTTACCCATAATGGGAGAGTTAGAAACGTGCCAGGGGACTCTAATTCAATCCCATCAAGGTGGCATGTACCAATGCCATCTCACTATTCAAAGTGATCCGTTTCAGTTCATAATTGATCATAATGATAGGAATAAGTGTCAAAGGGATCACATAAACAAGACCAGTTTCTTCTAATACTAACTGATAGAATTAAAAAGGAGAGAATGTTCCATCATGAGAAGCAGGATACACAGCAGACTCATAGAATGGCAAATGTCCTAAACAGCACTCTGGCCTCAGAATCAGCCCTTAAGGCATTCGGATCAGGCTAAAAAGCCCATGAGAGTATTTCAGGCATGGAAAGCCATGACACTCTGGCAAAAACAAAACAAAACAAAACAAAAACCTAAATGAAATATCTCTGCGAGTGAGATCCCAGTGGAAAGAACAGGCCATCAAAGAAGGAGGTACCTTTCTCTGAAGAGAGGAGAGAACTTCCACTTTGACTATGACCTCGTCTAACTAACATCAGAGTTGGCAAACTCAAAAGGCTTCCATAGCCTTGGAAACCCATGACAAGAGCCTAGGGTAATTACTGATGCCATAAACAAGAGTGTCAATTGTTAAATCAACAACAGGAGTCACTGTGCACTTACTCCCAATGTAGGATCTCTGTCCTTACTGTGTTGTACTATGTGAATTAACAATATAACTAGTACTCAAACAGTACTTTATACTTTGTGTATCTGTGTGGGTGCAAACTGTTGAAATCTTTACTTATTATATACCAAATTGATCTTCTGTATATAATGATAATTGAAAATGAATCTTGATGAAGAATGGGATGGGAGAGGAAGTGGGAGATGGGATGGTTGTGGGTGGGAGGGTGGTTATGGGGGTAAAAAAAAACACTATATTCCAAAAGTTGTACTCTGGAAATTTATATCTATTAAATAAAAGTTAAAAAAAAGAAAAAAACTTGCATAAATTAAATAAAATTTAAAAAAAGAAAAAGGAAAATTTATGAGCTGATCAAATGTTAGTACTGAAAGTAAATCAGAGGCCAGCGCCGTGGCTCAATAGGCTAATCCTCCACCTTGCGGCGCCGGCACACCGGGTTCTAGTCCCAGTCGGGGCGCCGGATTCTGTCCCAGTTGCCCCTCTTCCAGGCCAGCTCTCTGCTGTGGCCCGGGAGTGCAGTGGAGGATGGCCCAAGTGCTTGAGCCCTGCACCCCATGGGAGACCAGGATAAGTACCTGGCTCCTGCCATCGGATCAGCGTGGTGCTCTGGCCGCAACCCACCAACCGCGGCGGCTATTGGAGGGTGAACCAATGGCAAAGGAAGACCTTTCTCTCTGTCTCTCTCTCTCTCTCACTGTCCACTCTGCCTGTCAAAAAAAAAAAAAAAGTAAATTAGAGAACTACAAATTAAAAAATAAATAACTGGGGCTGGCACTGTGCTGCAATGGGTTAACGTCCTGGCCTGAAGCGCCACATCCCATGTAGGCACCGGTTCTAGTCTCGGCTGCTCCTCTTCCCATCTGGCTCTCTGCCACGGCCTGGGATAGCGGTGGAGGATGGCCTAGGTGCTTGGGCCCTTGCACCTTTGTGGGAGACCCAGAGGAGGCTCTTGGCTCCTGGCTTTGAATTGGCACGGCCCCAGCCATTGTGACCATCTGGAGAATGAACCAGCGGATAGAAGACCTACCTCTCTCTGTGTCTCTACCTATCTCTGTAACTCTATCTTTCAAAAAAATAAAAAATAAAATAAAAAAGTTTACCTTAATGTATATAGAACTCGACCATCATTCCAAATTCTAAGCAGACGATTAGGAGTTGTTATCCAGTGAGCATCAGATTTTCTAGAATTTCTGAAGAACGTGTCAGGAATCCAAATTTTTCCAACCATATTACTATTAAGCATAAGCACTTTCATGGTACTATTGAACTTTAAGCGACTGTCAAACCATGTTTGGGCAAATATTATATCAATTGTGTACTCCTAAAATATAAAAAGGGTAATAATATATTAGTGAAGCCACTCTTTTAGTTGCTTTCCTCAGAAGTTAAAATATTTATATTGTGAAGTTCCTGCAAGTAAATATCATTTAAACACAGTCTTTGTGAGGGAGGAAATGCCATTATTTTAACCACTGTTTTTAAATATTTACATAAATACAGAAAATAAAATCCATGATGTCAAATAATTGTTGCCTATCATTGTGACTTTCTTTTTTAATTTTATTCAAGGCTTTATTATATACATAGGCAGCAAATGTAAATTAAATACAAAAGTAAACTATTTTAATATTAACAAAGCAATTATTTTAAAATTTGTGATACTTATGCAGTGCTTAAATTACAAAATATCACAAGTGCTGAGTCAAGATACAATACCTCCCAAATTATCTAACAGCCATTGTCCTTTTCCTGAAAAAGCAGTTGTAATTATTAAGCTCACTGTTCTTAAATTTTTAAAGCAATCATATACAAACCTATTGAGAAATTAAGTCATGCCAAACATTGCATTAAATGGTTTACTATATCATGTAACTAAATTCATATTATAACCCTATGAAATATATACAACTATAATTATGATTTTCAGTAACATGAATGGAGTAATAAAGAGGTCAAATAATCCCTGTCCCATATCACAGAGCTAATGATCCAGCTGTTAGGAAAGCTGAGCCAAGCCACAGGAAGATAGATTCTAAGCCCATATCCAGAACTAACACACAGACTGGTAGTCATAATGAGACCCAATGGATTCCAAGCTCAGAACTTGTCTGTGATCAAATACTTTAAATGGGAAGTTGTATAATTGTGAAAGAGGTAATCAAGTGTGAGCTAACTTTGGATCCTAAAAAATGTCTTCCATAGAAATGTCAAATTTATTTGATAAAGTAAATGAGTAAGAATGCAGTAATAATCAGTACCTTATAGGAAGGGAAATGAAAACATGCGTGTGTGTGTGTGTGTGTGTGTGTGTGCATATCCATAACTTCGATGTTGAAGGAGGAAATAAATTGAAAAATACAAGGTGTTATGTAAATTTTTTGAAGGGAAACAGTCACTGCTTGCTTTTATTAGCAATTAGCCAATTTACCTTAAGGAAAAACCAAACTCCTATAATGACAGATATCCTAAACAGCACTCTGATCTCAGAATCGGCCCTTAAAGCATTTGGATCTGGATGAAAAGCCCATGAGAGTATTTCAGGCATGGAAAGCCAAGACACTGTCACAAAAAAATGGGCTACATGAAGGATCTCAGTGAGTGAGATCCCAGTGGAAAGAAGGGGCCATCAAAGAATCATGTACTCTTCTCTGAAGGAAGGAGAGAACTTCTACTTTGCTTATGCCCCAGCCTAATACTGATGGAGTTTGTGGACTAAAAAGGCTTCCATAGCCTTGGCAGCTCCTGACATGAGCCTCGGGTGATTACTGATGTCATAAATAAGAGTGCCAATTGTTAAATCAACAACAGGTGTCACTGTGCATTGCTCCCCATGTAGGACCTCTGTCCTTAATGAGTTGCACTATGAGAATTAGCTGTAAAAGTTGTCTTCAAACAGTACTTTACATTTTGTGTGTCTATGTGTGTGCAAAATGTTGAAATCTTTACTTAGTATAGAGTTGGTCTTCTGTACATAAAGATAATTAAAAATGAATCTTAATGAAGAATAATGAAGAATGGGAGAGGGAGTAGGAGGTGGGACAGGAATGGGGGTGGGAGGGCGGGTATGGGTGGAAGAACAGCTATATTCCTAAAGCTCTACCTATGAAATTTGCATTCATTAAATAAAATCTTAATTAAAAAAGAAATAGAAGTATAATTGGAAACTGAAAACAATACCATGAGGACTAATAAGTAAACACACCAGGAATTAACTTATTAAAGGGTAAGTTGGAACAAAAATCCTGGTTAGTAGGTGGAATACTTATAATTTGTTAAGGGGATATAGAAGAAAATTGAAAGGGAAATTTTAATTATTTCAAATGAACACTGTTGCAAATTTAGAATTGATTAATTAAAATCCAGCAACAAACCAAATATTATGTAATTGAATATAAAGGGATTCAGAGAGACAGATGAAAGATAGATAATAGATGATTTTCCATATAGTAATGTAATATATGATCATGCAATAATCTACCTGTATATTTAATATCTATTGCATGTCAGTCATTGTTTTGCATGAATTCATGTTTGAAAATATGAAGTACTTTTGTGCAAAAATACATTGTGACTCTTAGCAAAGTTTTTGTTGCCTCTCCAGAGTTACAAGTGTAGAGACAGAAGATTAAAATTGTAATTTTTGTAACTTAATATGGAAAGGCAAGTTATGGGCAGAAAGTGGGATATAGGGAGAAAGTACATTTGCAGCCTCATATGATAGCCATAATCTTGCTGATGTACTTTGTTTATAATGAAAGCTAAGGAATAATACAAATCACAATACCTAATGCATAATAACTAAGCATACTTACACTGTGGCTGCTTGGTAATCTTATGGTATAATATTTATTGATCGGTACACAACATGGAATGTATTTAGGAGAACAAATAGACTTACATATAACATTATGAGTGAATCTCCTCCTTAAGCCATGTGAAAAATTCTTGGGCAATTTCCTTGAATATATCTTTAATCTTTATTTAATCTTACTTCTCAGACCAGATAACTTATATTTTGAATTAATTATGATATATTATCATATCCAAGAAGCCTTTTCACCTCACATAAATGATTAAACTTTTAGAGTCCAACAGTACAACCTAAACTAATGACATGTTTTCTAATTTTGGTTAATAAATGTAAATACAAATGAGGTCCATTCCTCATTTTTTGGTATAGCCTAGAAAGAGTGTTTGATCAATTTTTTTGCCATGATTATGCACTTTTTTTGTGGGATTGGCAGCAAAATCTACTTAAAATACCAGCCAGGTAGTGGCTGGCTAAAATTCAACAATTATAAGGGTATACTTTGCTCCAGTATTCCTAACAGGGCATCATTGGTGGTAATTGAGAACTGCTTTGTCTAAGTGAGGCGTGTTGCAACCAGCTGTTGATGCTTCTTAGAGACAGAAGGGTTTACTTTGGATATCTAATGCAATTGTCTTCTCATTCTTAGATATAAAAAGATATAGAATACAAGATTTGAAAATCTGTCCTTCCCAAACTCATTGTTGTGTCTAATTCTCTCAAGCCCTTCTATGTTGCTGACCCTTAAAAATGCCTCACTAAGATAAGAAGTTCATTAAATCTGTGTTATTTAATATTAATTGAAAAATCAAATTTCATTCACTCATTTGTATTAGTTTCATTTCCAGAAAATGACCAAAAGTGCTCTGTACTTGATGTTCCTATTTAGAGGTTATAAGTATCTGAATATTACATAAGCAAAGAAAATATGAAATGGAACATCCCTTCACTCAGAACAAGAAGTACTTTAGATTCTAAGATTAACATGTTGAAATAGCAAATAGACCATTAACAATTGAGATCCAATCTACCTAATTAGATTTACCGTACATCCTTGCAAATTAGCTGATCAAATATCATAATAAATAAATGTCATCCCATCCTGATTTCTAACTTAACTCGTGAAACCATATTAATGAAAGTCTGTAGAATGGCCTCACTATTACAATAACAAATTTACAAATATGTATTGCATCCAATGTTAAAGTACTAGATAAATCAATATTAATGATTTTATTACATTTTTAAATCACTGGTTAGCTCAATATTACTATCATTCTGGTAATATGAGGAACTTCACACAAAACACAAGGCCTGTATAAGAAATAAATGCAAACATATAATATTATCATGACGTTTGGTTGATCCTGAAATGCTTGGCTTTAATCTCCTAAATAATCTAATCATGGCCAAAATAGTATGGTGACCCGAATCATGGTTGAAAATCACTCAGGTTCCAGAGCTATGACATGCACAGAATAGATACACATCTAGCTAACCCACAGCACAAATAGCTTTACTGGTAAAAGTTAATGGATATCATCCATTTTTCTCCATCATTGTAAGAGCATCAGCTTCTTGATTCTATCACAATAGTAAGTTAAAAAGTGTTGTTATTCTATTTTTCAAGTGGAAAAAAATAAGGAACAAATAGGTTATGTCAGCTTTTTAAATTATTCAAGTCATCTAGCAGTATACTAAAAGTGGTTTGAAAAATATCGAATAATCCTGATTCAGCTTCAAATACTTTGGACTCTATCTTATTTTTATGTCTATGGAAGCATATGGGCAAAGGCACATAACATTGTGTGTATTCACTGGTTAATTTTTGTAGCAAATATTTTCCATTGTTACTGTTGCTTTTTTATTATACTGTGTTTACAAAAATTTAAATGGACGTTTAATATATGGATGAATGAAAGCTGGAAATTAATAAGACTTATGAGAAGTATAAATCAAGTGAAATAGAAATAATAGAGATTATTTTCAGCTAGAAAATACTACGGAAGATAAACTGAAATCCTAAAACTTCATTTGTTAATTTTCTGCATCATGCTTATCTGTGCAATTCTTACCAGATATATATTCTGTAATATTCTATATACAATTTTAAGAGTAAAACATCAAATAGTATAATCACACTGTATCCTGATTCTAGAAAAAATACCAAGAAAAAAGTGAATTACAATCTTTAAGGAGGTTACAATGCCAATCAATAAAAAGGATAAGGTCAGCTTCCTTGTTTATACAGAAGTAAGCTGAGATCTGTTGTGGGAGCTGCCTTTATGAACATGGGTTAGTTAGGGTTCTCTAGAGAAACATAAGGAGTAAAATGGATGCAGGAATTGATGACAGATGATACACTGATGATGATGATGATGGCAGGTGGATTATAAAATTATTTTGGGGAATTGATTTGTGGCAGTATTGGGTCTAGAAAGGGAAAAATATGTGCAGCAGATTGGTAACTGGAGATCCAGGAAAGAGCTGATGTTGAGTTACCAGGTAGCATA